CACCAGGAAAGGGAGGCACAGGGAGGCCCGGGGACCACACGGCCAGGGGATGGCAGGGCTGGGCTTTGTACTTAGGTCAGCACGAACTGCCAAGCCCTCATCCGTCTCCGTCTCCTCCCCCTGTCGGCTGCTCCAGAAAAATAAAACTGTGTCTCAAGTCTTGGGAGTGTAACTCATTTCCGTGAGACATTTGCCTTTCCTGTCCATTGAGGCTGGTATACAGGAGCCCAAAGAACCTCCCCGCACAAATTCTGTAGCAAACTGTCAGGCTGAATTCTGCAAAGAAGAGTGTTCCAGCCCAACAGAAGGGGTTGCTTAATAGGGGTCTGAATTCACAGTCCAACCCCCCCCCCCAACCAGGGTGAGAACTTTCAGCTCCAGAGCAGGGGTGGCCGAAGAGTCCGATCCGGAATTGGGTTCCTCTTCCTTCACAGCTTCCCCAGGGACCAGGCGGGCTGGGAAGGGGTCTCTGGGCCTACGTCGAAGCTCCAGTGCTTAGTTATGTCACCCTAGGCAAGCCCCCGAACCTTCACCAACTGTTAGATGAGAAGCCGCACCCCCACCCCACGTTCCTCTCAAAGATGCTGTGGAAAGGAAGTTCTGATGGGGGTTCAGCTTTTAGCTCCAGCTCCCCACGTGGACGTCGAAGCCCCGGGCCAGACAAGAGCCCTCACGTTCCGCAGCTCAGTGATGAAGCGCCACCTGTGGCGGAAGATGTGCAGGTGCCATGAACAGCTGCCACCACGGCACCTGTGGGACCCGGTGTCACGATGAAGTGTGGTTCCAGGACGACTGTGGCCTGTGTCTGCCTCACAGAACCGAGTTCCTCCCCCGCCCCCTGACTCTCCACGCGTAAGCGCACACACACACATGCACACGCAGCTGAGGTCACTCACCTGGGACACCGGGCCCTGCCAGGAAAGAATGAAAGGGAAAACAAGCAGGCGGCAAGTGTCAGGCAGGTGGGAGCCCTGGGCCTGCCCCTACTTTGCTTCTCCCTAACACTCGGTCTTCCCTCCCCACAGAGGCCCTGGCTTCCCACAACCCTTTATCTCTTTGCATGCAGATACCAAGAGACCTTTGTCACAGGAAGGAAAATCAGTGGTGGGTGCAAACCAACTTTTCTGTCGGGAGAAACTGCGTGGTCACTGACCTTTGTGGCACCAGGGCCCCTCCTCCACCAGGAGGAAAAGGAAAGCACAGATGATTCAGGGCTGTTCTTGGCCTCTTTAATCTTTCTTTAAATGTATTTTGAGAGAGAGAGAGCGGGCATGCGCACGCGCGCGAGAAAGCAAGCATGTGGGGGAGGAGCTGAGAGAAGGAGAAAGAATCCCAAGCAGGCCCCGTGCTGTCAGCACAGAGCCCAGCACAGGGCTCAAACCCACCAACCATGAGATCGTGACCTGAACCGAAATCAAGAGTCACAACACTTGACCAACTGAGCCACCCAGGTGCCCCTTGGCTTCCTTAATCTTCTCTAATCCCTGGTATTGACCCTCACCTTGTCTCACTTCCCTCTGAACACCCTCCTGATGTGAATCACCTCTGGTTTTGTCACCTTGCTGCGTGCCCTGACCACACACGATGGTGCCCGTGTGACCAACCCCTGGCGTGCCCTCCACCCCCGCCTCTGCTTTTCTCCTAGAGGAGGGAGAAGCAGCAGACCCAAGTGGTCTGCAGGAGCCTGGGCTAACCTCAGACCTTCCAGAAATATGAGACTCAACCCGCCCTCACCGCTGATGAACACCTGCTGTTGGGTTTCTGACACATTCCTGGGTCATAGGGAGCTACGTGGCTTGTTCCTAGCTGTTTAGAAATGGTTATCTGACCACAGTGTAATATGTTCACACCAAAGCCATTCACACTCGACTTGTGCCTGTGGGGATAGCTGGCTTCGCACCTCACACCAGCTTCCAGGCATCATTTGGGCTTAGATTTTCAAAACAGGTGTTCTCCCTCTTGTTTTTAGTTCCCTTCAGCTGCAGATCAACTGCTTTTGTAAGAATCGTGGGGTGAATGCTGTCAGTGGTGTTTTTGTTACTTCCGTAACTGTCGGGGGTGGAAAGCAAACCTGCCTCTTGGAACCGTGAAGAAGTAAAAAACTTACAGCACCAAAACAGAAGTGTGGGGTGCCAGCTGCCAGGTGTAAGGACTCTGAGACGGTTATGTGCCTACTGCTTCGGTATTTGGGGCTTTTGGACTTGCCGTACCTTTGCAGACCGCAGGCTGCATCTTTGCGTTGGTTGGTGTGAACCCGGTGGATTTAGAAAGCTGCTGGAAAGGGACACACAGGATCTGTCGGTCTGTTCTTTCTCTGCGTTTGCTGAACGTTGTGCCTTGAACATCTTTCTCTTAAAGTGGGGGATCTGAAGTGACAGTGTAGTCAAGCATGCTGGCTCCCCGTGTCGCAGAGGGGTCCAAGGAGGTTTATAAAAGCACAGGTTCCAGTACCCTGCCCCACACAGTGAAAATCAGAATCTCTGGGGGTGGGGCCCCAGAGACTGGCCTGCAAACAATCCCCCTCTTATGGGCCAGTGTCACGGATGCTGTTTCGGTACAGGAGAAAGACGGAGAGCCTGAAGACAGGATTCTTACCCTGGGTTTGGAGCAGACTTGGAATGGTACCTACCCCAAGCCTATCGCTCACCCCCTCTAGGCCTCAATTTTCTTCATTTTAAAATGAAAATAGAGGCGCCTGGGTGGCTCAGTCGGTTAAACGTCTGACTTCGGCTCAGGTCACGATCTCGCGGTCCGTGAGTTCGAGCCCCGCGTCGGGCTCTGTGCTGACAGCTCAGAGCCTGGAGCCTGTTTCAGATTCTGTGTCTCCCTCTCTCTCTGACCCTCCCCTGTTCATGCTCTCTGTCTCAAAAAATAAATAAATGTTAAAAAAAAATTAAAATGAAAATAATTCTGCCAGTTTACTTGCCTCAGGATTCCTGAGAGGGGGGGTGGGAAGGGAGCCCTTGTACATGCTCTCCTGGGCCTCTGCAGAGGTCAGCGTCGCTACATCCACTGGATGAGGAATGTGGGCTCACGTTGGAAGCAGTCTTCCAAGGTCCCAAGTCCCTGTAGGTGAAGAAGCCCGGCTTTGAATCCAGGTATGTCTGGTTCCAGACCTTTCCTTCCCATCAAGGTGCTCCTCTGAGATTTTAGAGATCAGGCGTGTGCTTAGCATTCGGCTGAGGCATGTGAACCAGCAGCATTAGAGCCGCTCATTAGAAATGCAGGTTCTCAGGCCTCACCCCAGGCTGACTGCATCAGAATGTGCATTTTAGCAAGCTCTCCAGTGATTCCTGGGCACCTTAAGGTTGAGAAGCACTGTTGAGGAAGACTTGAGATTGGACAAGAGAAAGTCTGAAGATCACGGTATGGTAAACAAAAATGCTCACAGGGATGAACAAGGAGGCCGCCTTTACTGGGAGGCTCCCGTGAGGAGTGAACAGGCGTGGACCATTTCAGCCTTTCTGTCTGAGCTTCTGTTACCAGGGAAGTACGCCTTATCTAAGAAGGTCTGGGCCTCCAGGAGAATGGGTTTTCAGATGGACACAAATTGTTTTTATAGGTGTGTGTATATTTAATTTTCAAAGATAATAGGATTACTTCTATTTTAAAAAAGAAAGACGAAAAAATCAGGAAGAAAGCGTTTAGCGAAGTGTCATCACTTTTCATGCATTTCAGAAGTGACTCCTTTATAGCAGATAGTACCCGCCAGGGAGGATGGTCAGTTGTGGGGGGGGGCGGGAGGGCAGGGGAGGGTGTGCTCAGGGTCCTGAAGATCTTCTCTATGCATGCTGGTCCTCAGGTTAAATCCTAAGACCCATCAGTTTGAAGGAGGGACCGCTGATACTCACACTGTAGCGGCTCCCCAGCACAAGATGCTCCCTGCAGAAGGCAATGCCCTGACCCAGGGCTCAGAAGCAAAACTGGCAAACCTGGGCTTTGAGGAATGTGGGAAAACCTCCATGCAGCCTCCCAAGATGCTAGCTTTGGAGGAGTGTCAGTCCAGTACTCAGAACTTCTCAACCTGGGCCAGATCTCACGTTTCAATTCCTGATTTGTATTCACTGTGTTGTTTACCCCTTACAAGTCACTTTTCTGAGGCCAAGTCCGTCTGTGAAATGCACAAATCCCCCGGAAGTGTCTGGGCACCATGTGTCATTGGCGTGCCGACCATTCATTTACACCCGTGGCTCCAAAAAGAGCCAGTCGGGAAGATTACGCAGACTTGCTCCCTGCCTTCTAGGAAGTTGTATAGGGTAAGGCAGACAGGATGACATACGTTAATGTCCCCCTAAGTCTGGGCTGCTTGACACCCTCAGCCCTGGTCTTTTTGCACTTGCTTCACTTCAAACTACCCAAAGTGGAGTCGGCCAAACCAACTGTTCTTGTTTCAGTCTTTCCCTCCTTGTTGTGTTGTTGTTTTGTGTTTCCTTAGTTTTTCAAAAGCCTGCAGGAATGGGGATGGTACTCCCATTCTGTTACTTCTAATTTCGTTAACAATTTTTTGAATCACGTGAGTAGAAGCTTTGAGGTTGAGAAATTACGCACTTTCAAGTTTTGATTCCAGAAAGTCATGTCAGCTCAGCTGTAAACACTTCTAGAAGCTGAATCTGAAAGAGGAACTGCATGCCCAGGCTTCCCCTGGGGAGCTGGAGGCATCGCCCCCTTCACGGTGCCTGATTTCCAGAGATCAGGAAGTTTAAGGGTGTGCCGGGAGGCAGGGGGTGAAAAAGAAAGCAACTGCAGTTGGTTTAAAACCACACAGTGCAGAACAGTCCTGGCGTTCTCTCGTTCCTCCCTTCTGCCACTAACTGGTGCCTTCCATCACCGGGAGATGAACCGGGAAGGCTGGTTATTGACAGCTGGGCAATTTGCACAATAAAGTTTAACGGCTTACATCCCCTCTTACGACTCTGTCAATGTTTTCAACGGATCACCTTCTCAGGTGCTGGTTCTCACGCTCTCGTACTGACTCGCTCCTTCTTCTCTTTCCCTTCAAGCGTGCAAACGCAAAGAGCAAGAACCAAACAAAGACAGGAACAATTCCCAGAAGAAATCGCGCCTGGTGTTCACCGACCTCCAACGCCGAACGCTCTTCGCCATCTTCAAGGAGAACAAACGCCCGTCCAAAGAGATGCAGATCACCATTTCCCAGCAGCTGGGCCTGGAGCTGACGACCGTCAGTAACTTCTTCATGAACGCCCGGCGCCGCAGCCTGGAGAAGTGGCAGGATGATCTGAGCACAGGGGCCTCCTCGTCCACCTCCAGCACTTGTACCAAAGCGTGATGGAAGGACTCTCGGGCGGGCACAGGTCGCCTCCGGATGAGGACAACCGACACCAAAAGAGAACGCAAAGGAAAAAGACACCGGATTCTTAGCTGGGGCCCTTCACTGGTGATTTGAAAGCACAATTCTCTCGAAAAGAAACTATTCTAGCTGTAATCATAGGCCAGGTGTTCTTTTTTTGTTTTCTTTTGTAATGGCGATGGAGTCCAAGTGCAAGCTGAAGATTCATCTCTTTGAACCGGACATTGTCCTCCGAGCATGCTAAGCGTCCCAGAAACCCAAATGGGGCCTTCCTGGAGCGAGTTAGTTTCAGTGTGGTGTCAGCCAAGCTCAGGATCACTTCCGGTGTCAACGGTCTTGCTTTGGGGCCCGTTTCAGTCAGGGTTCCCCCGTGTCACAGTGGGAATTCGGCCTGTGGAAGGATTCTGAGGTTGGGCTCCCAAGACGCTACTATGAGAGATTCTTCTGGCAACAAGAATGACCTCATTTGCTTTCTGAGTGCTTGGCCTCATCATACCACAGTACACCAAAGTTCACAGCCATAACATAGGAAAAAAAAAAAAAGGCAAAAAAACCCCAAAACATCAGAATGATAATTACTGAGCACAACTTTTAAATACGGAAATTAAAAAAAAAAAAAAATCCAAGGACCTGTTTTTCCAACTCAGGCATCGTTCCATTGAATGGTTTAGAGAGCTTTAAGTTGATCCAGTTTACAATTTTCTTTTCCTTACCTCCTGGAAATCTCACGTGGTCTTGGATCCATCAAAAAAAAAAAAATCAGTTCTCTCGAGCTCAACGTATCAAGCACAACGTAGATAAACAGAGAAGTAAGGAAGGTTCTGGATTCACCACATCTGGATTTTCAAGACGCTGATTGTGAAGTCATGAGGGAACCGTTGGGAATATGGCTTCAAGCACATTTTGCAGTTTGCTACAAATTCTGTTTGTACATAATGCAGACACGCACACTCAGGAGGCCAATTTAACTGTTACGGTACATGGAGCAAATGCAGCATTTTAAAAGATCTAGATTTTTTTAGATCATTAATGTTCCTTCTCAGTTATCAGTCACCTGGTTCCTCCTATTGTGCATCGTAACCACCACGTAATTCACTCTCACTCTTTCAGACTTCAGTTATTTCCACATCCATCCCATTGGTAGGGACGTTTTTCAGTGTTTTCTAGCAAGAAAAAAAAAAAAAAAGAAGTAATTCAAACCACCGTACGTGTTACTCATGAGGGTCATCTAGTCCCAAATCTCTTCCATTGTCAAATCATCCTCGCAAAACAGCTGAGTAAATCTGGAGAAAACACAGCACACCAAAGAAGCAGAATACTGCAAACCAAAGACATTTATTACTTGCCATTTTCTAGCCTAAAAATACTGTGATTACTTTTAGAAATCAGAAAACCTCTGCGACTCCGAATAGCATTCAGCTCTTGCATCTGGCTCACCATCGGGCTGAGCGAAGCGGCTAGCCAAGCCACCCAGGGAGCGGCTTTGCCGCGCCAGCTCTGGTTCCCGGCTGTCACCTTCCCACAGCGAGGGGAAGAGCGCCCACAGAACTCTGGGAGATTGCGAAGGTCACGATGTGCGTACTTACCAGTGAATGGCCCCAGGGGGGCACCATGGGGGTGTTCAAAGCAAGCCAAACGCTGCAATGATTCTTTACAGACACTTGAGACTGACTTTTTTATGAATTACTTAATCGAAACCAAAGAAACTTTTTCTGCACCTACTTCTGCAACAAACAAGACTGTTCCATTAAAATAAATAAATAAATAAATAAATAAATAAATACGTAAATCAATGAAAATCACCACCACCAAGAAGGAAGCACGCCAGAAAAAAAACAAAAACAAAAACAAAAAAAAAGAGCGAGACACACTGTGTTTAAACAGACCTCTTGGGACATTTTTTGGAAGCAGATTGTAAAGAAAGGGTTGAGACAAGAACAGATCTAAGGAAAAGCCTCAGCGGCTGCTGCTTCATTTGACAACTCACGCGGTAATCTTAAAGTTGAAGATTGTCTTTAATTTGTGCCTATGCAGTTTTTCAAAAGAACACGGAACAGAGCAACAGAAACCTCAACAGCTACAATACCAAAGATGAGGATTTCTCACATCTTTTGTTTCAATTCATTATCTCCTCTTGTCTGGCTAAAATACTAATAGCGTCATTGATCTGTGTAAAGGTAATCAATTTTGTTTCTGAGCAACAAAAGGAAAGGGTCATTGATTTGATTTGATTGTTTCCCTTTAATTTTGTTTTATGGCTTTTCTACCCCAACATGGAATCTCTCAAAAGCTTCCATGGACTCCAAGTTTAAGATGTTGGGATACTGAACTATTCTCTCTACTCCTCAGAGTATGGGGAATAATGTCACTTGAATGTTCTTTGCTTATCCCTTAGACTTGGTTCCTTCTATGTTCAGAGTCTCAGCATCAGGGGAGGGAAGGGGAGTGAGGGTCAGGGTTAGGGGTCTTGGTGACACATCCTCTCCTGAACCACAGAACCAAAGAGTTTATAGAGGAATCAACAGCCTCATGTTCATGTGATTGCTACATCATAATGGCTTCATTTGGGGGTGGGGGGAAACATGTAAAAATAATTGCCAGTTTCTACTTTTCTATTAGCTTTTTAAAAATCAGCTGTAAAGTTGCATTTCTAAAGAAAGATATATATATATAATATATGAATACATATATAGATTCAACTTGACATTTGGTGATAACCCAAAATTATTGCCGTCCAAATCCATGTCTTGTTTTGGTCAAGTGCTTCATTTTATTAAGCATTCGGTTCAGAATTTTGCTCATCTCTCATGACATCCCAGAGTCCATCTTCCACTGTGGGTGATTTGGAGTATTCAGATTTCTGTGGAAATTCCCAGGAAAGGTTGAAAGTCCAATTCAAGCATTTCAACATTTAACCTGTTGATCAATGGATTCATGGTGCAAATGAGTTTTACTTGTACTTGGGGTCATCTCTATTCTACACCTCAACCACGATCAAGGTGGCGAGTGAGGTCTGTCCGTGAGACCCGGTGCGCAAGTGGGGCAGGGCCAGTGGGGCGCTCGTCTTCTGTAACTGCTGGGAAGGCTCAGTGGGCCATTCCCACTGGCTATGGAGATGAGGCCAGCCCAGAAATCTGTTCTCCAGGAGCTACTCTGTCCCGTCAGGATGTTCTAGATCCCCTCAGTGAGCAGATTCACCAAAGGGAATTCTCACAGGGGAGGTCCAACTCCTGTTGCAATGGGTTGATCAGTTTCCTCAGGGTGGTAATTACCAATTTGTATTGACAAGCCTGTGTGCAACCACAGCGGGCGCTGGAGTGAGGCAGTGGTGCTGACTGGGGGCTTGTCTTGATCCCGGAGAGAAAATGCAAAGCAGGGTGCAGGGAGAATCCCAGAGTCCTGCCCCTGGGAGCCCCACCGCCCATTGTGCCACCTCCTTGCTCCTGCCATGTGAGTCCCCCTTTGCAGGGGCAGCCGCCACGGAGCCGTGAAGGAACGCGACCCTCCAAGGCTTTTGTACTTCATCCTACCTCGGATGTTCCGGGACTTTCCCCTGTATCCTTTTGTCTCTTGCTCATACCCCATTTCCCCTTTGTCAAATGACCTAGGAAAGAGTGTATTTCAGCAGGGGAATGCTCCGTATGGGTTGAGAAAAATGAATTTCAACTTGGCTATTTCTAAATGAAATCCTTGTGACTTGCGGCCAACGTTCTGGAGACTGGATTGGGGACCAAGCCTGCTCGGTTTGGTTAGTGACCCTTGGCAGGCTAACCTCACTGTTTGGGTCCTGGCATCCTCTGAAGAGGTCAAGACCAAAAGAGGCTGCCTCTGAGGCCTGAGATTTCCATACTGGTAAAATCTGGTGTAGCCACATACACCCCCTCAGTGTTCCTGGTGACCTGAGGAAGATGTCATCATGTAAAAAAGGCAAGAACTTCCCTCCAAGGACTTCTGTTAAGTGTCCCCTACTGGATAATGTCATACCGGAGAGAAGCGCTTGCCTTTAGAAACGAGTTACATACATATATAAATACATGAGCGTATTCATATATTTATGTATCAAAATTTTAAGCCTGACAGAATTTCAGCTTGTAAAAGTTCTGAAAGAAAAAAAAAAAAAACAACCCTGCTAATTGAAAGGTAATGGAATTTGACTCAGTGGGTTTCCTCAAGCATTTTAAAATTTACTTTAAGTTAATGATCTCAGAGAACATAACCATTTGGGCTTGGACTTCCACTTTAGCGTCTGTTTCTTCAAGCCAAGAAAAATTCCAAGCATGCCTCAGCCATTAGCAACAAAGGGGACAGTATGAGGGGACAGTTCTGAACCAAAATTCACATTCCTGAGGCAACAGAAACCTAAAGGCTATTGAGTGGAAAACTACTTTTCTTTATTCCTCTAGGGAAATTGGCTCACTCTTGTTTTTAACGTGATTTTGGTACTGGGGATATAAGTCTTTCATTTCAGGGAATTGTTTAACAGAGCCAGCTCATTTCTTTCTTAAAGGAAAACAGCAACAACAATAAAAGCTCAACCCTGATATTTAAAGACTTTTCCAAAATGTAAAATGGTAGGTTGTACCCCTTGAAGGTAGAGGAGAGAAAAAGAAATGAAGGACCCAGCATGACTCTGTCTCCGGATACATCAGAGCATCACCTCTGCGTTTTTTTCCCACAGGCTCTTGGCAATTGTGGGCTTAGGGAATTTAAGCAATTTTTCATTCTAGCTGAAAGGAAATCAAAACTAGGAAGGTAAACCTGACTCTCTCTCTCACACACACACACACACACACACACACACACACATATATTCATATTCATTTTTGTAATTCCAACAGTGTATTTCAAAGCCAAATATAATCAATCACTTAATCTTACCTATGCCGGGCACCTACCTTTTAATGCCAATCCATTAAAACTGAACAAATGTTTTAAAAAATCACTACCACCCAGTACAGGCGGGGACACTTTCCTACTTTTGAAAATGCTGGCAGAATTATTGAAGTGTCTGATTACCATTACCAAAGTGTCATAAGAATATACCTTGGTGGTGAACTCTGATTTTCAGGAGGTTGTACAGTAGGAATTTTTAAAAATATAAAAAGAACAGCCTGAGTCCCAATATTGTTGAAGAATAATGGACTATATTAAAAAGCAGAGAAAAAGAGATGATCATGTGGTTAAGGTTGACCCGAAGGCCCCAACATGAATACTGTGAAAATAACAGTCATGATTCTTAACAGATCAGAGATGGTTTTTTGTTGTTGTTGCTGCTGATGCTGTGTGATTCAGACCTGTTAGCCTAACCGGGGGGAGTGAGTACGCAATGATAGATGGAGGTGGTGTGCCTAGAACTTTCTAACATTCACGTGCAAGACTGGTAGCTTCATAATTTTGTACACTTAGCTAAGACCAAGTCACCTGTAAAAACAACAGGAGATTCTAGCTTTCAAGTAAGGCCACAAAATCCTTCCTAAAGGAAGAAGTCCCATAAATTAATGACATTGGCTTTAAATAAGGACGTCCCAAAGCTTATTTTCCGTCCATGATTTATTTCCTTCCGGGGGGGGGGGGGGCGGGGAGGGGTGGTTGTTTTAGAAAGCCTCAGAATGTGTTATAAAATACAAAAATAATTATTAAAATAATATAAGGCCTTACATATGGGTAGACACAAAGCCTGTAATTGAGGCCGATGGGCTATCGCATGAATCCCACCGGGACCAGAAAGGCTCATGGTTCTCAGATACCAAAATGACTCTGACAGTCTGAGGCAAGTTAAAGCTACAACCCCAGCATTCCTTATAGGGTTTTGAATTTGGTTGACTGGAATTAACCAGCTAAGACCTTTGTAGCAGAGAAAATGTGTATAGGAAAAAACACATTGCTACAGGGGTATTCATTCCATGGAAGCCTTCCATTTCACAGACACTTCACAGAACATAAACCTTGGTAGATCAGTTTGCCTAAAGCTCATACAGTCCGTCGGCGTGGATGTATACGGATTTAGGGATGTCTCTCGACATCCCTATGTATCCCCGTAGCAGCACATATTACCTGTGGGTGTCCACACTGTGCAGACATGTGTGCACAGACATCTCCATACATAGCTACTGTCATCTGTTACAATAAATGAATTTAAGTGATCATTTAACATCTACGTGAGCCTTCTACAATGTACCTTGCTGTATTTATTATAACGTTGAAAAAAACTGAAGTGCAGGAAAGAAAAGTATCCCAGCATCCTCGTGGTGTACACTCGGAATTACTTTCATTTGGGCACATCCAAGATAAACTCAACTTTCAAGAAACCTTGGATATTGTTTAATCATCTGAGGAAGAATGACACATATGCTTGATGACTTCGGTTGAATAGCTTTATTCTGGATCTCTCATAACTACGGCTAAATCCAAAGACCTGGAAAAAGACAAGAAAGAAAAAAAAAGAAAAAAAAACAAAAAGAAAGAAAAAAAATAGCAAAACAAAGTGCAAACTAATAGGAGAAAAATGAGCTCTGGTCTCCAGGGTTGAGACAATGTGCTGTGGTGTTGTGGGGGCTGCACCGGCTACAGGGGGAAAGCGGGGATTTTTTCTTTGTGCTTGTCACATCTCAGTGGTCTTTATGAACATGAGAAAGCTTGAGAGGTTATGATTTCCTGCTTTATTTTCATTTAGACTTTCGAAAGAGGCTATACATTTTGTCCATCAAGAGAATGAAGACAGTTAAAAGAAACTTTTTTCTCCCCCTTGTCTCTTTGGGTTATGACCCAACAAGCTATGTACCATTCATGTAATTAATTTATTTAAATTAGTTTCTAGCACACAAACGTGTAGGATTTGGGTAATTATTTAATCGTCTTACTTTGATTTTACTCCTTGTACTTATTTATCAAACTATAGACCAACGGTGCATCAGAGATGCAAGCTTTCATTTAGAATTCTCTTGAAAGGTAGTTTGCTTTATAAAGCAGTGAAATTCTGTTACAGACAGGGAAGAAATACAGGTTACCAAAAAAAAAAAAAAAAAAAAAAAAAGGAAAGAAAGAAAAAAAAATCAAGGTATTTTTCCTTCTTGAATTAACTCTGGAAATAGTTTAAACAGTGATTATTAAATTATTTAATTTAAGTTTGCAGCCCCACCTGGTAGCAGGCAAACTTCACCCTTTAATTATTGGGGCCCTCAGAGCCTTCCTATCGTAACTTATTTATTTAACTTATTCAGCATCTACAAAAGGTGCGCCGTATAGTTTATATTTTTTATTTAAAACAATAGAGAGCACTGCAGCTTGTTTGCTGTCAGAACAACAGAGCAAAGTGTGTGGACGAGCAGATGACTATTCAACCCGAAACTGTACATTCAGACCCTGCTTCACCAGCCTGGATTTCAGGGCGGCTTCACAGAAACTGGAAAGAATAAATTGAAAAGGTCGTAACAGCAAAAAGAGAGAAAACCCTTACACTAGCTGCTTCCAAGAATGAACTCTGTGTGTGTGTGTGTGTGTGTGTGTGTGTGTGTGTGTGTGTGTAAAACAACAAAACAAAAAAGGGAAAAAAAAAAAAGAAAAAAAAAAAAAAAAAAAAAGAAAAACTTTCTATTTCTAGTGAGAACCAAAGAAGGCTACCTCACTGACTTTTTCCATTTGTAATTTTAATCGTGTTGAAGACACCAAAGATACCAAAGATTTCTTTCTCTGTGCGGTCTGCATTTTGCTTGTGCTCTTTTATAATTTTAACTATTCTCTCTGACATATGGTATTTACAGCGGCTCAGATACCCCAAAGAAATAATTATCTATGTGACGGTGGCTGCTAATTTGGAAAGGGATATTTTCTGTGTTTCTCTCATTTGTTCGCTGTCCCCTGCACATGTTCAGATGCTGCTGTAATTGGATTCCTTAAATCCCAGTTTCAAATTGGTGAAGAAGGCTGGATGGAAGTGGCCTTCAGTGCTAGCCACGACCTCTGTCCCCGCTTTGGAGCTGTCACAGTAAAGATTTCTAATTCCTGAACCATAGAAATTCTAATCATTGAGGGGAAGAGCTGGAAGGGACCTTAGAAATCACGTGGTCCAACCCCCAGGGGCCTGGAGGAGTGAAATATTTACCCAAGTCCAACAGCTGTCTGGAGGCAAAGCCCAGACGGGCCTCCTGCCCTCCTGTTCCAGAGCTGCACCCCCGGCTCAGTGCCACCTCTGCATGAGACGGGCCACATGGCAGCAGAGAGGAAGGTGGCAATCCCGTAGCCACGAGCGGAGCCTGGGGCTTGTCACTTAATGTTTTCACGCTGTGGAAGAAGCCACAGGTATTACAGCGTTTGTCCAGTTAAAATCTCAACGTGACGTCACCTATGATCAGTCGCTTGTAAAGGTGGTCGGTCTTGCGATATTAAAGCTCACAGAGGGGTTTTCACCCTGGCAGTGTGCATTGATCCGGGTGACCACTGTTGAACCTCTGCGTTACAAAATGTTGTATATATAAGCATTGAATTCAGCGAGAAGAGAAAGTTCATTCTTGGTCTGCTGAGTTTAATGATTATGGATATTTTTAGGTCATATTTATCAGGAAAGGGAATTTGAGCAGTACACGTGTGACACGGAAGGGGTTCGGCTTTTGGCCTCTTCTTCTTGATTTGTAGGTGTGTATACTTTGTTTCTAGGCCAGCTCTGTATTTCTGAGAAGTTTAAGCCTCACATCCTTGGATCCTTAAGGATTATTCATTGTAAATGAAAGATGACCCTAAAGGTTCACAGGAATAGACAGGCCACTTTAAGAAACAATTGACTTGAAGTTGCTTCTCTCTTCCCTTCTTACTCATAAAATGAATTGGTCTTTTTAAATTTTCTTTTGGGTCCATTCAATGATTAAATCGCCATTAAGATCCATTCATCAGAGTGATTTGTATGTCAGCCAATGAGTCATTCGCAGCTTTTGACCCAACTGGTTTTAGACATAGGCAAAGATCCCCCTCTAGTCTTTATGGCTCTTTATTGAGTACTAGTATTTCCCACTTCACATAATAGAGTTATCTTTGAGCTTTTAAAAAGACCACTAGGCAAAGAAGCTAAGAAGGGAAAAGACCAATCGGCTCATATGTCCCATGCATCAAAAGACTGTAGCTAGTAGAAGGCAGACTGGCAGGCTAGGAGCCGCTTACCCCTTTCTGCAGTTTCCAATACAGATCTATTCGAAAGTCCTCTCCCGTCCAGACAAGCTCCAAGCTCCATCTTCCCCCATACAAGGCAAACTCGTAAGGCCTTCCTTCCATTTGGTTTTCTTCCCCAATTCCTATTAAAAATAGAATCCTCAGAATACCGGGGAGACATAAGAAAGAAGATCCGACGGTTGAGCAAGGGTGCTCCCCTAGAAGCAAACACCTTCTTCCCCAGCCTTCCTACCACCAAACCCCCACAAGAGGGAACCTAGAGAGAGCGACTGCAGCCTGAACACAGAAAACATCCCTCGACTGGCAGACCCCTCCTCAGCAACACCCCCGCCCCCGCCCCCAACCCCAGCCTCATGCTTCACTTGCAAAGTGTGACATAACCACGGGACGAGTGCCTTGCTTGAACCAAAGCAACGATTTAGCCAGTCTGGACCTCTCTGTGCTTTTTTTAATCCTTCCTGTGAATACCTCAGCTTCAACTGGGCCTCCATACGGTAAATTGGTGGGCTTATTGTACTGTGGTGCTTTGCAACGCAACCCTGCAAAGAACACGATTTGTACTAATACCAAAGGTTCTTTCTCTCTGTCTCCTCCTTCTGCCTCCCCCGTTCTTGTCCCTTTTCTAGTCCTTCATGGTTCCAAAGCTTTACTATGAACCTGGGCATGTTGGCAATGCAGACCGCGCAATTCCTTACCGAATTTTCTCAGATATACCTCATAGATAATAGTGTTTAGAGTAATGTTATTATAGCGTATGTAATAAATTATTCACTGTTTCTTTTGGTAACTGTGATTTAAAAAAAGAAAAAAAGAAAAAAAAGCTTTATACGTTTTAGGTTGTGCTTTTGTAATAGACAAAAAGGTGCGCTTAAAAAAAAAATGTATGTTCTTTTTTGTTCCCCCTTTGGATTTTATTTATTCTGGATTGGGGAAAGTTGCAGAATGAGCCCAAAGTTTACAGTTTCATATTTTGCTGAAGAAACAATCTGTGTTCATTTGCTCTGTTGAAAAAAAAAAATTATTTTCTACATTTGTGCTACTTGGTCTGAACAATTAATTGTTCTGTGTTAACAGTGTAGTATTATAATTAGCAACTGCCAATCAGTGCTATAATTTTATGCATGAGACTAAAACTTTAGCAGTGTGATGCATTGTGGTCTTAATAGCAACATTTTTCATTTTGAACTAGATCTTCCCCTTTGGTTCAATGGACTTTTTTTATGCATGGGCGCCCATCGTTTGTTAGCAATTGTGGAACAGTTGTGTATACATTAAACTGTGAAAATGTACACAGTTCAGCCTCAGACATTGGTAATATTGCTTTTATTGGGAGATGTCTCACCTCAAAAATACGCTTACATCTGTTGGGATTTCAAAATGAGTCAGATGGAATCAAGTTCCAATTTTGCGAGAAAGGTCATTCCAAGTTTGAGTTACCAACTTGCATTCCACAAATTGGGATCCTCATGACCCAGCAGTATCACTGTATTTGAGAGGGGTCTGGAAACAAGCGCTGAAAAACAACTCTGCATTTTTAATGTCCTCGGAAAGGAGTCACTTTGGCTTTATGTTCATGACCTCGGACCTAACTGGCCTGTGTATTTGGAGATGTGAATTCATCCAGCCCTCGCCTCTCCTAGATCTCTGCCTGGGAATGGCCACTTTCTGCTTGGTTTCTTCTGGTATTTTGTGGTCAGGTCAGTTCTCAGTAGCAACTCAAATGGAGTCAATATCGGCAATTACTCTCTGGCTTTGTTGTCCATTCTCCCGGACAACCCCACCAACTGTTCCAGTGATTTAGGCCAAAATGGCCATTTCTCAAAACACCACCTGTGCAGCCAAATCATGCTTCTTGCTCCCAAGAGTCAGAGGTGACTCTGTTTCCTGCCCAACAATTTTATGTTTGTCCTAAAGGGAGTATAAGAAGTTTTGAAACACAGTTTTGGGAAACCGTCTTGGTTTAAACTCCCCAATTATCTGAGGCCGCTGTATCTCAAAAAGTATTTTACAGTTGCAGTGGGTCGGGCAGACTTGTTCTTCCTTACATTTGGGGTCTGAAACTCATTCTCAAGTTTCATACCTATTTCCCAAATCAGTATGCTTGACATAAAGCCAAACCAACTGCCAAGCACACTTTATTCTGCGTAGGAGAGCGCAGTTAGGGAAACAGTGGTGGGAAACAGCCATCTGCTATGCAAAATATCGGAAATCACCAACAGTGGAACATTCCTATTATTGGTCAATGAGAATTTGGGGGAACGCGCTTTCATCACCAATAGAAACAAGCATATTTTTTATTTGGCCTTATAAAGTAGCTTGTGATAATAAAAGCTTTGTAATATATAGTCTTTTTAATTTTTTCCCCTTATTAATTTGCCAAAGATGGGAATGGATAGAAGAATTTTCAGTTGGCTTTTGTAAGACAGTTAATGATTGTAATAGTGTTCAACCTTCCAGAAAGCTTTATATGTTCTTCTGCAATAAACCGAATCAATTGTTTGTTTCAGTGAAGTTCTCCTCACATGCGCAAACCCACAGATATCTTGGTGCAGATTTTGTAACATCTACAAAGTTCAAATGCATTTTCGATCCAAAGTAAACAGAGGAGTGTCTGAGACATGAGCGTGCCCAGCCCTTTGTATTACAAGCAACGCATGGGTCTTGCTCACTAGGATTTGCCAAGAAGACTTGTCTTACGAAACTCGAGGTATATTTTGTTATGCCATTTTATGTCCTTTTTTTCAAAAAAAAAAAAAAAAAAAACTTTGTGGAAAGTGATATGTTGAATCAAGTGTAAGCTGAGTTTTCCAGACAACTGAAGTAGCTACATCGTGAATGTTATTTTGTTATTAAAAGGTTTTTACTCAATGCTTTGTGCCCGTGGACGTCCTTTCCTTGGAGACACAGAACTATGGAATTTCCTCAGCTTGGCCTGGATTCTGCTCCTGCTCTCATGGGGGAACGTGGCGATGGCCTGGAAAATTAAGGTCCTGGGCAAGAAGGTAGATTTGGGCTCTAGGAAGAGATCTCCTTGAGTGTCACTTTAAAGAGAGCTGGGCCAAGCTTGGCTAACTTTATTCTCTCTCTCTCTCTCTCTCTCTCTCTCTCTCTCTCTCTCAATGCCAGCACTTCTCTGAGATCCCTTGTCCTTGAGCACATGCCAGCATGAAAGCAGACCCCAATTCTTACAGGAAAGGCAAGGAAGAAAGAATAGCAATCCCCAATCTTCAATGGCCCACCAAGCACCCATCTTTCCCCAGGTGGGGCTCTGCCAGCCAAGGATGTGGGTGCCCCATCTGGTTGGCTTCCCCACCTTAACTACTGCAAAGCATACAGGTCCCACAGTCCAGTCGGGCTCTTTCCAACCAGAATCCCCCTTACCACTCTTCCTCTGCATCCTGGTTTAGTTATTCCATCCACTTTTGTCCACAGTTATGTGGAAAACAAAGAAAGGTATGAATGGGTTTTTCTGTCATTTTGTTTCTAATTCGTACTTCAGCTAGTCTCAGTTCTTTGATCTGGAAAAATACCAGAGAGAAAAGAACCCCTCACTGCCTCTTTGTGCCTTGCTGCTCTCTGAGGGGGCCGTGCACATGCCCTGTGCTATCGATCTTTCGGAAGGGGCCGGCGGAACCACAGCAGTCAAACCAACCAGGACATGGCCCGCCAACGCGTACTTTATCTCTGCTTGGAAGTCCTATTTAAGAAGCTGTACAGCTTGGAGTTTCCTCCATCTTCCTCGCTTTGACTCAGTTTGGCATTTAGTTGCAGAGTCAGTTTGCTCTCTAGGAAAGTTTTTTTTCAGATGATGACAGGGAGCCTGCTACCCAGGAAGAGAGGTGAAGTAGTCAAAGGCTAGCTATTGGGTAGGGAGTCATACCCGGAACAGATCCTTCCTTGAAGACGGAATATTATTTCCTTTCTTTACTATGCCACTTTGTGTCTAAGTGGTGCCGGCAAACTTTTCACCACACAAGGTTGTAAGACGTCTGCCAAATTGGAATTCCTGAAAAAAGAAGACAACTTTCACATGAACGGAATGGTAAGGAACATCTGAGTGTGGCAGGCAAAGACTGAGAGAATGCAGGCATATTCTTGGTGCTGGGTTTTCTTCTACTCTAGATCGCCAACGTCCAGATCTTCTTTCCCCCACTTCCTCCTGGAGCAGTTCAGGCTTTTCTCTCCCAGTCTAGGATGCCAGATAATTTTATGGGCAACAAGAATAGGGACTGACCAATGTTTCAATTAGTTCTCTTGAGACTTCATCCTTTGCTTTTCTCCAAGAAAGTGTTTTCCTGGACTGCCGAGAAAGAGCCTGGCCAATTTTTTTCATCTTTCCTATTCGCATATTTCTACCCAAATTAACATTTTATTAGCACAGGTACAATAGATTCTTTCTTGGTCAATGAATTCTTACTAGAGAAGCTATCCTTCCCCCAAAGTGAGTGAGAACAAGTTCCGATGTCTTTTCTTTCATGGGCTTTTGTTCTCAGGATTGAGTGAGTCCTGGCTGTTTTCTCACTTTAGGCCCTGATCTCAAATGTGTTTATTTTGGGTACTAAAAACACGTTTTAGTATCACATGCTGGCCTGTGGAGCTTGAATCCTTTCTTGCAATCTGTTGGTTGCTTTGTGGTTTTAAAGGTGACTAAGATGAGGGAAGGGAGGAAGAGCAAAAGAGAGAAGAATTTGCCCCAGCTCTATTTAAAGTTTTAAAATGTAAAGAGACTTGTTAAGCCATGGGAAAATGGCTGTAGAGGGTTAACACTCCCCTCCCTCATTCGGAGCCGTGTTCTGCCACACGACTCACAGGTCAGCTCTTCTAGAAATCCAGCCTCGTTGTAGAAACCCAGCTACCTTTCATAGACCTCTGTCCAGATCCAAGATGACAAGAAACCAAAGAGTCATGTGCACACCTCTTGTTCTGTTTTCCTGATTTTTCAGATATTATCTCCAAGAAAATCACAGAGGAAAGCTTTACACTTTATTGGTCAATCCTTTTGACATCGCTTCTCAGATTTAAAATCGGTAAAACATACCCCTAAAACTTGCACTCCTTTTTATTTTGAAAAAGAAAACCCACACACTGGTTAATCCACATTCTTATTTTCTTTACACCCTGAGCTATATTTCCAAAGCATATTCTATCCCCAATTTTGCCCCATCTCAGACATGTTAAGTCGGAATGTGCTGAAAGATTTTCCAGGGATGGTCAACAGGGTATATGTTCAGTGGCTGCCCTGAAATCCTGGTGGGGGTGAGGATCACACACCATTATCGAGGGGCTGCTCACCCCTTGATAAGCTCCCAATCCTTTGAAAGATTTCTTTGAATGTTAACTGCATTTTCAATTTTGCTCATTTCCCACTCTGATGTTTTGTCCACAACATTGCTTACACTGGATTCTTTCTATTTTTATTCCTATCATTAAATGGTAGTGCTGTAAATTCTGCAATTAATGTCAAATAAACTGCTTTCATTCATTGACCATGGCTCAGTTGGCTTCTTTCTCTTTCCATGGAAAGGATTAAGCATCCTTCCCCTATCGCATCCCATCATGGTTTCATAAAGAACAGTAAAGTTGCTCTGCTTTAAAGATTGCAACTTCTTTACCTCTGACAGGACGCAAGACACATTTCATAATTAGCAAATCTGTCAACCGTGTTATCAACCATAAAGGTTTGGGGATGCCCTGTAAAGACTGTCTTATTCTTAACCCATTAAAACATTAGAGATGACCTATCCTAACCTTGTCCTTATACAGATTGCATTTGAGGTTGCATGTGGTGAATTAAAAAGGGGACCCCTTTATTGTCACCATATGGAAGAATGAAAACAAACAAATTTGGAGCCAGAGACCTCATATGGAATTTAGGCTCTGACATAAATTATATAGTTTTCAGGAAGTCACTTACACTCTCTGGGCTTCAATTTCTCCAACAAGGTTAAGGTTAGGATAGGTTATATCTGAAGCCCTTTACATCTCTGTCAAGAGCTTTTGAAGATATTTATATTTTTGGCATAGGTCATATCTTGGCATATTGTTTTTTAAATTTAATGAGTTACAGAGTTCTTTAATCCATTTTAAACTTAAATATCCCCAAGCGGCAAAGGAGTTCCACTGGACCTTTGGTCTAAATGAAAAACCCACTTATAACCCAGCCCATGAAGCAGTTAGTGCCTTTATCTAGGCCAGTGGTTTTCAATTCTGGATACATTAGAATGACCTAGAGAACTTTTAAAATATACTGATACTGAGGTTCATCCCAGACCAATCAGATTTGACGGGGTGGACCCCATATACTTATGTATCAGTTAGCTTTGTCATATAACAAACTGCTCTGAAACACAATGACTTAAAAAAAAAAAAAAAAAAAAAACCACGTTCATGGGACGCCTGGGTAGCTCAGCTGGTTAAGCGTCTGACTTTGGCTCAGGTCATGATCTGGCCATTTGTGGGTCTGAGACCTGCATCGGGTTTTGTGCTGACAGGTTGGAGCCTGAAGCCTGCTTCAGATTCTGTCTCTGTCTCTCTGTCTCTCTCTCTCTCTGCCCCTCCCCCAATCATGCTCTGTTTCTCTTTCTCAAGAATAAACATTTTAAAAAATAAAAAAAAAAAACAAAACCATGTTCAAACACACATACACACTCAAAGAAGCCACCGTGTTGGCTGTCAATTTGGACTGGTCTCAACTGGGTGTCTCTTCTCTGGCTGGCTCATGTATCTGCCTGTCAGCTCCCCAGGGGGACCGGCTCGGTCCCGCCCAGATTCACAGGGAGAAGAGTGAAAAGAGACTCTAGGTCTTGATGGGAAGAAGTGCACAATCACATTGCCAAAGGAGGAGTGAAAAACATGCACTTTTTTTTTTGCAATCTTCTATAATCTATACGTTTTAAAGTTCTCCTAGAGACTCTAAACGAAGGTCCAGCCAAATTTGTAAAACACTACTGTAAAGCCTACTGGTTCTCCTTTTTTTTTATTTTTTCACAACTCCAACCCTAATCTGTGCCCACTCTTTCAAATACCTTTACTGTACAGCTTGGACTCATTTTATAAGAAAACTATTTACAACTTCCAAACTTGTAGTGCAGGTTATCACCTGTAGGCTGACTTTACAGGATTGAAAAAAATCTGCCCAAACACAATGATTTAGACGCTTGTTTTGTTGGTAAATGAACTACCAGCCTCAGCTACTGGTATCTGCCCACTATTCCATGTGCAGGGCTGGTGGGAAGCCCTGGGAAGGCAGGAGCTGTGCACGGAGCTCTTCCTGCTAGAATACTCTGGAGGAATTCTGGGCTACCTCAGGCACATGCAGGGAAGAGCACTGGGCCAAGCACGACCTTGGGGCCAATCATGGAGATCTTGAAATAGCATGGCCTTTGGTTCTAAGATGGAATCCTTCTTATCTGCTATCGGCATCTTTCTTCCCCAAATGGCATGCCCTTATTTATTCAGGCTTCTGGACAAAGAAGACCATCTTAGAGAACAATAAACATGTCTAAACTAGATGATCACCAAAACCTCTTCTACCTCTGCTATCTTCTGCCTTGAATAATCCATCACTGTTACTCAGAAAGTTAAACAGTGGCTAAAGCTGGGAAGTTTCAAGTCTCAGAGATGTCTGGTCTCACTTTAGCCTCATCAGGACAGAGAAACAAAAGAAATTTGTGATGTAGGTGGACCCTTTGATTGACCCTTTGGATTGGACTCATTGGAGGGAAATACTTTCTGTTTTGGGAAGCTTGTTGACATGAGGCCATCTGTCAAGACTTTGGTTGGAGTCATTTGATGGGAAAGGGTATCCTTAAGTCAAATACCCAAAATTATTTTTTTAAGTTTATTTATTTTTGAAAGAGACAGAGACAGTGCAAGCAAGGGAGGGGCAGAGAGAGAGGGAGAGAGAGAGAATCCCAAGCAAGCTCCACACTGTCAGTGCTGAGCCCAATGCAGGGCTTGAACCCACGAAACTGTGAGATCATGACCTGAGCCAAAACCCCGAATGAACCACCCAGGGGCCGCCAAAATACCCAAAAGTATTAGCCAGAGTCCTTACAAATCCCTTCTCTTACTTTTATCTGTTCCCTGGACTCTTTAATGGGGCGATTTTTAAGAAGGGAAAGTACTTGTGAAAGGAAAAGAAAAAGCAGGAACAAATTCCTGGAGACCTAGCAAGCAGGAGGAAACACTGGTCAGTCCACAACTGTTCATGGAGAATAATTATTTCTGGAAGTAAAAATAATGGTGGCAGCCAACCCTGGAAGCACTCACTATGCTGTCACCTCCATAACCCTCCTTCCTTGCAGTACATGGCAACCTTGTGCAGTAGGCTGGGGCAGGGACCGTCATGCTACATGAGGCTACATGGGTAGAACCAGAGTAAGTGGTAACACCAGCATTCGGACCCAGACGTCAGAACTGACCCCCTTGGACCTAGTCATTCAGTGTTGTATGTACCACAGGGACCGGAGGTTCGTGTGGCACACTCTCTCTGGTTGCAGCGATAAAACATACACCATGAAATCACTATGTCTGTGGAGTCATCTCTGCTAGATGCCAAATAAATGGCACAAACAATCAACAACTGCCCAGAATTCAGAAGAAATGGGGATCACCCCAAACTGGGCTGCTCAAAAAAAGGCCTCTCTCGCCTCATGTAGGTTTCTAAGTACTACATTTTCTTAACACATTCAGCTGAGCACCACTCAAGCGTGGCCAAGTAATCTGGATTTGGAGGAAGAGATAACATCCCTCTCCCCACATAACCAACCTCAAATGCACAGTATGCTCTTCACATGATTAATATTTAGATGTCTGCATCATGTTTCCATTTTTACTTTAGCTCTCGCATGGGAGGGAAACCAGGGTTTTGAGTCAGAAGATCTGAACTTAGGTGCCAGGTCCACCTCTTGCTAACATAGGCAAGTCACTTAAATTCTCTGATCTTGAATTTTCCTATCTACTGGGCATAAGAATATGACAATATGCTACTGTTCTGCCTAGTTGGCAAAGTTATTGCGAACATCAGGCAGCACGATAGGTATGGATGTGAGCTACTGAAGATAGCTATCATTTCATAAAAATAGAAGTCTGAGGCTCAGAGAGGTTAGGTAACTTGCCCTGGACAACACTAGTGGAGCTAGGATATTTGAGCCCAGGACTATCTGTTTCAAAGCCCACCTGAAAATGCCTATTTAAACGTGGATTCCCCAAGGAAAGGAGGGCCATGTTGTGGCATCTGTACAAGTGCGTACCTGTAAATACCATGTCATAAGACGTTACTTAACAATTAGCCCCGACAATAGAAGTGTAACTAGTAGAAGAATACATTTGCTTGTTCTTTTTTTTTAAATTTTTTTTTTTTTTTTTTTTTTTTTTTTGAGAAAGACAGAGATGGTGCAAGTGGGGGAGGGCAGAAAGAGAGGGAGACAGAGAATCCCAAGCAAGCTCCGCCCTGCTGGCTCAGAGCCCAACACGGGGCTTGAACTCACAAAATCCTGACCTGAGCCGAAACCATGAGTTGGACACTTGACTGAGCCCCTAAACTCACTTGTTCTGCCCTGCAAGAACTATTCATAAAAATTGTCATGAATTGACTAAGCCAATTTGGTCCTATACAAAATTTGGGTTCTTTGTGGTTGCTAATCATAGCCACCCAAAGCCTCTGAGATGGGCAAAAGTTATCTACATCCCCAAAACTCCCTGTCAGATTTTAAAGAAAGTGAGTCTAAGACCAAATACTGCCACATAGGAGAATTTAACCAATTCTAATGAGCAAATTAGTCACTACGCTACGTATATTACCCGCTGTATAACCTCAACGAAATCTGAGTTCTCTGTCCTACAGGGACCTCTATCCATATTCTAGACAGACCCATCAACATTCCAGAGGCAGGCTTTTGTTAGCCCTTGGGCAGCATCAGACAAAAAGCAACTTCCTCAACCAAGGATGGAACACAGGTCTTCCAGGGATCAGACCTCCTGCATATTCCCCAACAGTGCACGCTGAAGGTGCCACTGGACTCTTACACCCTATGCACGCAAAGGAGGGTGGGAGGGGCTCTCCAACCCAATTACCTTAAACACCTTTAATCTCTCACACCAGGGGCCATTTGTCACACTTCTCATGATAATCAATGGTCTACTATTTTCACCATTAAAACGCCACCTCTGCATTCATTATGCTAATGAGCAGAGCGGGTGCTGACTGAGATGGTGGCTGAAGAGTACTGGTGTACTGAGATGGTGGCTGTCCCGCCCTTCAGAAACGCTGGTCACTCACCATCCAAGGCTGCGCACCCTTGATGAGGACGATTTACTGCCCCCAGACTGAAGGGTGAACAAGCTGACACACATTACTGAACTATCAGTGCTAATGTCTCTTAAAATGAGTCACAGTCATTACAATCAAAGTCCATGTTTTTTTTTAATTTTTAAGGTTTTTATTTATTTTTGAGACAGAGACAGAGCGTGAGTGGGGGAGGGG